TCGATACTGTAGACCACGATATATTAATAAAAGTACTTCAAAAACAATATGGAATCTGTGGCTTGGCATTAAAATGGGTAGATTCATATTTGCGACCTCGTGGCTGCAAAGTATGTGTAAACTCCATTTCATCATCTGTGCGTCAGCTGCAATGCAGCGTTCCACAAGGTAGCTGCATAGGACCCTGGTTGTATCTGGCGTACGCAGGAACTATATTTGATGTCATTCCTCCTTCCATATCAGTTTTCGGCTTTGCAGATGACCATACCGCAAATACACGCTTTAATCCAACGTCGAAACACGGCGAACTTGAGGCTATTCGCAAGCTTGAGGATTGCGCAAAGATAATTAACAACTGGATGAACGCTAATAAACTTAAAATGAATGCATCAAAAACAGAACTTATTCTATTTGGCAGTAAAAAAACAACTAGAAAAATGTGCTACAAAAGTGATTAACATTAATGAAAATGAAATAAAATCCGTAGAATGTATACGATATTTGGGTGCATTTTTAGATGAAAATCTTAATTTCAAAGAACATGTAAATAGGAAATGTCGAACAGCAATGTTAAATTATCTAAGGATCAAAATCATCCGCAAATATTTAACGAAGGAAGCTACGGAAATTTTAGTTCTATCATTAGTTATTTCACATTCAGACTATTGCAATGTTATTTTATTCGGCATAGCACAATACGAAATTCATAAAATGCAACGAATTCAAAACATGTGTGCCAAATTGGTTTTAAATCGGAGGAAATATGACAGTTCAAAAAAATCTCTATTTGATCTCCACTGGCTACCGATCAAAACTAAAATATCATTCAAGATTCAGACATTCATGTATAATTGTTCAGTGGGCCAAGCACCGGAATATTTAATTAAACTTCTGTCAAAACAAACTTCAAATCAAAAATTGCGCTCTTCCCGAAATTCCGAAAGCTGTTACATAGTCCCATTTAATAAAAGAAAAACTTTCAGCGACAGGAGTTTTAGTACCATCGGACCAAAATTGTGGAATGAACTGCCTTTGTATATTAAACAATCAAAATCTATTGATGATTTCAAAAACAACTTAAAAAATTACTTCTTTAGAGACTTTGATGCTTTATTTTAAGGATTACTCTCCATGTATATTTGGATATAATATGTAAATATTTTTTTAGAGCTTTACTGTACAACACTATTGAATACGTTTGTGTAAAAATAGGCGTTTAATAAAATAAATCAGTTTCAGTTTCATTTAACCTGCATATTTGAAGTGCTCGTCACTTATTTTTGACGCTTCAGTGATTTACCTAGAAGTAAGGTTATTTTAATCATAATCAACTTTACAAAATAATGGTTGTGAAGTTGAAGGTAAACGCACATCACATTCCGAAATGATTATCCAGAGTTGTAAAAAAACATGCCACCCTTAAAAGAGAAACAGAGTCATTTATTTTTATTAATAAGTAAATATTATAGAATATAAATTCAGCTCCCCCTTTCTCTGCCTTACTTGACGATATACAAAATAATTATCTTAATAATATCTGGATTTTATAGGAAAATAAAGAATACTGTCCACCTTTACACACTTGAGATGAAAGGGGGACCTTACTAGAAATCAATTCACATAGTAGAGAAAATAAAACTGTTGGTATATACTCACGTATTAATTTTGTAAGGCACAGAAAGTCTACAAGTAATGTTGTAAATACAGTATAATTTGCCTTTTCCGGATTATAAGTATTCAGGAATTTTGTCCATTTCAGCTTTAAATTTTAGTCCCATGCGCTTCTTTAACAAATGTATTACAAAAAATTCTGTTTAGTCCGGATTCTGTCTATTATGTATTCCGAACGACCATACTAGTCCCAACTGCTCATAATTAATGGTATTTTTTTCCTCTAATCCGGCCACACAATATTACCTGAGTCACTTCAATGCAATTAACACCTTTCGTGGTAGATGTGCTAATGTGTGTTTACATAAGACCACTTGAATAAATATAAAGTTTAGTTACAAGTAATTTACAGAAAATACTTTCTCATGTAACTTGATTTTAACGCGATATCACACAATATAACATAAAATCATTACACTATTTAAAAATCAAGATAAAAATCGGGATCGAAACTCAAACGTCTAATTTCAAAATGGCACCCTAACATTGGAGGGAAGACTTGAACACATGTTGAAACGGAGAATGTTTACATTAAAAATTAAATTCTGTTCAATAATTATCAAATCGTAAATAATTGTGTATATGGTTATTTTGAATGTGCTTTTTGACCTGCAAAACCCGCGCTTGATATGTACGTGTCTTTAGATTTCGACTATGTTTATAGATCACGTTGCGTTTAGAGTCTCTAATTTTGTGAACGAAAAAGAAAAATTGGCATTAAGTCATGCTTATACTCTTGCATAAATTCTGAACTCTCAAAATATCGAATGATTTTATCATTATTTATATATTGCCGATATATGCATTGTACTTGTAAAGAAACAACAGAAATATATTTCAAATATTTTCCTGCATTTTACCTGCATCAATCTAATCCGGCCAATTTTTATGGAACCCGTGGTATCCGGTTTGGACAAATTTTACTTTACCATAAATTTGGTTTTTCAATGATAATGAATACTTAGATACATTATAATCTTGATCCATAGCTGCTTTAGATTTATTTCTGTTTTTGCTTTTGTTTTTGGTAAAATTATAGTGCATTGTTCCTATTGATAGAGTGAGTCAGAAAATGAAAAGAATTTCGAAAATATATCGATAGTAAACAAAATAGGCGTATCTAAAACATTCTTCCTGGCTGGGTTTAAGGTCAAATCTTAAAATACGTAACGCTGTTATTTCTTCTTTAAACTTTTGAGCATAACTATCTTCATATTTCACTATAATTCTATCTGTTTCTGCATTTTTGATTAAGAGTAATTAGAAAATAATTATTTAAAAAATAAGAAGAAAGGTAATGTGTCTTGTGTTTCTGTAATTCTTTGCAAGTAATTGGATCTGTCTTTTATAAATTACATAATGATTCCAGTATAAAAATGTTTTACTAGAAAAAGACATTGATGCCTACACCTAAACTAAGCTTTATGATAAACGTAAGGAATTTTAGTTTTTCTATCTTCAATTTCCCTTTTTATTGTAGCAATATATTTTTATCACCTGTATATGCTGTTTATGTCTCCGATAGGATTTGATGAGCAAAAAGAGCATGTTCTAACTAAGATCAATTTCTAAATCAAGACAGGCTACAGACAAGTAAGTTGATGTTACAAGAGTATCAATAATCTCGTTTAAAGTTAAAATCTGTCAAATTCTATTTTCAGTAAAAAACCTTGCTTGTAAATGCAAAATGTCGTTAGGTGGAATGTTGACAGTTTTAATACAAATTGTTCGGTCATTAATTTCATACTGAACATACTACGAATTTGTGAGTAAATCCAATTAAAGGAACTCATAGCTGGTGTGACTATTCAACAGGGGATGCTTACTTCTCCCTGATCCTACCTACATTGTATGAAGTTCTCCTGGGTCCACGATTGCTCTTTTCTCAATTTATGCTGAATGTTTAGAATTTTTAAACATGAATACTGTTTATTTTTTTTTCAAATTACATTATAATTACTGTAATACTAGTTTCCTGTATATTCAGTAATTTGGAATACAAACTAAGTAAATATTTTTCACAAATATTGTTAGAGATAATTTTCAAATACAGGTATATCTATCGAATAGTGAAAATAAAAAAAACAAATAACCAGGGAAATAAACTTATTTTTTTATGAAGAAAGAAAACTCTGGATGCAAAAACAGCCTTACAATGCCCATGTTCCAGAGAAAAAATAGGCAACACAAGTTCATTGAAATAAAGTTACAGATTACTAAAAAATTCAGATTAAAACATTACTCTTAATTAATGACCTCAAGAATTGAAATTGATAAAAGGAAAATTGAAATGACTTCAGTTTATTTTATTGGGATTTGTATTTATTTCTTTCTTTGGGTATTTACTCTAAGAAAGGCTCTTTATACGCAGTTCAGGGTAAATTCAATGAATAACGAAGAATCTATATGATTTATATATTGTGTAACAAACCTTCATATATATCATTTTTTTTTTGTTTCAAGATCTTATCATCTAATTTGATTCTATAATGTTTGAAGGGTATGCCACCTAATATGATTAGAGAGTGCTTCAGGTGGGTGGATCATATTTAATTTTAGACAAACACATGACATGACACTCGACAGGGACTATTTTCTCAAATTATCATATACCGGGTAATGTCTCCTTCTGAGAAAATTTTACTAGTTCACATTTATACGACATTTATAGAGACACTAAACCCTCTACCTTTACTGCACATATTGATGATAAAGTTCATTTGTATCTGGTTTAAATCACCACCAAATCACGGGAGAATAAAGTTAAATGTGCAACTCCATTTGACAAATATATTTTAACAATGATGATTCAGACTTTTTTTTAAAATTCATTATGCTCAACACATATGTCAGATTTCTCAGTCTTATTTGACATCGGTAATGTTTCGATTGAATTAGCCTAGGTTTCGAAATAGTGATATCCGGGGGAAAATTTAACAAGAAATGTTGGACGATAAAATCATTTTATTAGTATATTATCAGAATAAAAAATACAACAATTAAAATCTTGTTTCAAAGGATTTCAACAATGTTGAAAAACAAGATCAATATGTATTATAATATGTAAGTTAATCTAGATATCCCTTTTCATATACTTAAACAAAATTAAAAACTTTCTTATTTTTGTTGATTTTCCAAGGATGAAGAAAGTATCTTTACTTTTCTTCTTTTATCAAAATCTTTTAAATGGAACTTCCCTTTTGAATCTATATTAAGAATAAAACATGAAAGACAACGTAAATTAATAGTCCAATAAAATTATTGATTCAACATCCCCCCCCCCCCAAAAAAAAAAAATGAAAAGAATAAAAAAAAAACTTGGCGTATACTTACAAAGATCTAGGCTGTGTATCTGGTTTACGCACCTCAATGAAACTGGACAACCTGTAAGATGTAAGGTGATATTAAACATCCTCCCTCGTTATATCTGAATTTAATAAATTTGATGAGTAAAGAAAGAAAAAAAAACTTCTCACCAAGAATGGTCAACATCTCGGTACTTTCGTCTGTTTGATAAGTAGATGACAATAGATATAGCCGTCAGATTTACTAAAAGAATTGTACAGATGATGATGGCAAGTTTCCATTTGTTTATCCTGCAGTAGTAATCGTTCACATGATCTTCACAGTAAAAAATAATGGAGCAGGGATCTGGAGCACACTCATTTATATCTGAACGATGAAGTTTCAAATATTAAATGTCATCAACTCGTTTTGAATATATAGAGAAATTCATTTTACACATGTTGACTGCCTAAATAAAGAATTCAATATTTTTTATCGCCATTATTTCAAAATAAACTTGGCATACTTATGTCACATAAAATTCCCGTAAATCCCGGTTGACAAGAACAGGTAAAGCGGTTGATAAGGTCGTTACATGTACCCAGATTCAAACAAGGGCTACTGGCACACTCGTTAATATCTGGAAAAAATTATCCCATCATATCAAAGATCTTAAATTTTGTTCATCATTGAATATTTTAAGGAGCCGAACAAGACAGTCATGTATTGAAAATGCATGAAAAACTACCTATTTCACAGACTAGGCCTGTAAAACCCGGAACACAGGAACACCGGAACTGATTAATCTCATCTATACAGGATCCATTGTTCTGACAAGGAAAGCTGGTACATTCATCAATGTCTGGTTTGAAATAACAGAGAGTCGGGTCAGCAGACAAAATGCATTTTAATGAAAACATAATCTTATCAACCACAGATTTTTTTTTTACCTGTTTGGCATATTGGGTATGTAAACCCAGGTATACAAGAACATTTAAACATGTTGACTTGATCTGTACACGAACCGTTGTGTTGGCACGGATCACTTTGACATTCGTCAATATCTTGATTGTAAAGGAACAAAACTGATTGAAACTAGAGATTCATTGATTACTACATTAGGAGATGAAACATGCAACTAAGATTATAAGAATACAATTTTGAGAGTATGCCTTTATTAAGTTATCAAATTTTAATGCAGATTAGTTCATTCAAATTAAATTGGTAATAGTTCAAAAAGTAATTTACCTGTCTGACACATTACTCCAGTAAACCCACTCCTACATGTACAGGTAAAACTATTTACATGGTCGTGGCATGTTCCAAGATTCTGACATGGTCCACTGGCACATTCATTTATATATATATATATATATATATATATATATATATATATATATATATATATATATATATATATATATATATATATATATATATATATTAAAATGACAAATAATGATTGTTTAAAACTATGTAACAGAGAAGCATTTCATAATGTCTATTTGCGTCAAAGAAGATTATTTTAGTTAAAAGAGATTGATTTGATAATGACGAGAAATGGAATAAATCTATTTTTTAAAAAAAATCAAGGTAACGTCTACAAATGTAAAACAAAACATTAAAGGGATTCAAAGTACCAAATTAATCAAAATACAATTTAAATTATTGTTAAATTTGCATTAGGGGGAGGTAACCATGCATCGGACACATACCTTGCTTCGGACAACTTTAAGCAATAAACTTTCATTGAACCTGAATCTCCCTGCAATTTTACTTGCTTCTGTCTTAAAGGTAAAGATTTAAACTTTTTAATGATGCCGATTTTCATTTTCATGTTGTGATAAAAAATACCACAAAAATGGCCTTGAAATTACGTCACATTTTGCATCATAAAAGGGGAGTAACCAGAATTTTACGATTTTGCAATTTTTAGAGTTGTCGTTCTATTAAACGGACTTCAGCGGAAAGTGTTGGACCTAGGTAAAATTTGTCAATGACTGATAATTTTAAAGAAATTTTTCAAAAATTTTACTTCAATGTTTGTATAATATTTTTTTTAGAGTTGTTTTATACTAGTATGTTTATTACACCGTACATTGGACACCAATTAACCATGCATCGGACGTTTTCCGATGCATGGGTAATCACTTCCGTTTTCATATTAAAACCCAAATGACAGCTGTTTTTAAGGAAATAGAAAAAGCCTCTAAATTTTCAGTGAAAATACAAGTTATCAATATATGACAACTAAAAGTGGACTCAATTTATTTCTTTGAACTAGATGATGATAACCCACGAGAAGAAGCCGCGAGTTGCCATATTACTAGCATTGTAAAGCTTTCTAAGGTAATGTGATGCTACTAAAATCCCTTTACATTTGTGGATCGAAATACATGTAGTCATTCAAATTTAACTAAAAGGTTTTTTTTAAAAAAATAAAAGATAAAAACTTGTAATATCACTAATTTTAAAGCACCGAGATCAAGATATGGTATTTTCTGGTTTGAATACCGTATGTCCGATGCATGGTGAATGTTGTCCGATACATGGAGAATTTTGACTTATTTCGAAAAAAAATCGGTCTTTAGTGAGTTTTTCTCAATAAATAGCACACGATTGTGTCAAAAATTGTATTTTAACCACATACTACATGTTAAGTTCCATTTTGATAATATTTGGACGGTAGCAATATCGCTAGAACTTGTTGAAGTGCGAGGGTATTCGATGCATGCAGAATTCACCCTACCTAAAGATTATTCACTAAAAAAATTTGCATGCTTTGTCTTATTTTTATAGCGATTATCCATGTTTTTCTATCAAAATTTCCCTTGGGGTGACAAAAGTGAAACTCCACATAAACTAACCTAGATAAATTGTTAATCATATCACTGTATCTCAATGGTATATTATGTTTAACATTTTTTACAATGGAAACATATATGGTGCTGTCATACACATTAAATCAATTCTATTGCATTCGATCAATGACAAAATTATTATGATTTCAGCTTCTCAGAAGTTATGAGGATGACAATATTTTTTTTTCAATTGAGATTCTAGATTTCGTTCAAGAGTATAATTGTTTTTTTACTAAAGAATACGCACCTGTTTCACACACGTGTCCGGTGTAACCAGGTGAACATATACACCTGTAATTCTGCGTTATTCCTTGTCGTGCACACGTTCCACCATTTTTACAAGGAGAACTCACACATGGACTCACGTCTGTATTGATATACGTGTAACCATGTTAAATTATCAAGAAGTGAATTATTTAAATATGCAATGAATGATTGAAAAGATTTTACTTACCATTTACATTGATATTGAAGCACCTTGATTCACTTGTTTTCCTGTAAAATTCAAAACATTAAAATTGATTTTCTACTCGCATTTTCATTTTTTTTTTATATGAAAAGATAGAATTAGTCAATATTTATGCATTCATTTGAAGAGGGTGAAAATTAATTTTTATTTTAAATGAAAGGTCGAACAAACAATAAAATTTCAAGAACATCATTTCAAAAGTATTCTGAAACATCTTTGAGATTATTTTATTAAATCTTTTATACAAATGAATGATTTTTTCATTAAAGCTTTATACCCAAAAGTATCCTCAGCTAGAGCACAAACAATGTGAGATCCTACTTGGTTCTGCTGTGGTGTCCAGGAAGTTGTGACAAAGAATGTTCCAGGTCTTGACGAGACAGACTGTACTGATGTATAAGTCATACCGGCTGGGGCGGTGATATCCATCTTTATTATTCTTTATGGGATTAAACAATTCATGTTGAAAAAGACTTTTTGAAGTTAATTAATGAATAAACCATCTAAACAACATCAAATAGGAGTAAGACTCAATGGTAATAACCTTCTACTATCTGTAGCATAAAATGACACGTGGAAGGCTTGTGATATATTTGCCTGTATGGTTGATCCAGCAGATGGAGTAGGAGTTACAAACACTGGTTTGTCGTTGCATCTCCCGGAAAGATGAGGCGTTGTGATCAGGAACTGAAAAAAAACCCGTTATTTTTTTTACATACAACTTTCCTCATGAAAGCCTATGTCGGTATTTAAAGTGATCATATGCGTTATATCTTGAACACATGGTTAGTGAGCCAATCAAAAATAAAAGGATTGCTGTAGAAATACAAAGTTTCTGTAAAAAAAAGAATGTTTCCTCATACTATGTTTTACTATGTTATTCGCAACGTTTGCTTAAATTATTCTGTTTTCTATTTACCAAAAAAAAAAATATATATATAAATAAATAAATAAATAAATAATTAAAAAATAAAAAAAATAAATAATTAAAGTAAAATTTGAATCTGTACCTGTAATGTTACAGAAGATAACGGAGTGTTTGGTCTGTGCACAGTACTACCAATAGAAATTGTTGATTTCGGGAAATCTTCCATTGTAACAGCTACCGCAAACGTTCCATTTTGTGTGTGATTAGAGGGAAACTTTATAGTGCAGGTTCTCTATAGGAAATTAAATATAGGTGAAATCACTGTATTTTTAATACCTTTATTCAAACATGCAGTATGACAAAGTAGTATTCTTACAGTATCAATAGTTGCAGATGGTAATGCATTACATATAGAGGCACATTCTGTTCCCGTTGACCAGCGACATCGAATGTCATCACCGTCAGCATCAGCAACAGGGATTCGAATGTCATTTTGGCAATTATACTGTACTCTAGTCAGAAAGAAAAAAAGTAAACGTAATTAATTCAGAAAAAAAATAACAACGATTAATATTAGCATATGAAATATAACGTATATGTATTTACGAGAGCAATCATATAACTGTAATTTATATTTATCACCAGGTTGATAGTCTTTAGAATTGATATTATAGGTATATACATACATATACATTGGTTTTCCTGTCGTTATTGGGCTAGTATTTGGTTTGTGAGTATCGCTTCTTTCTTTTAAATTAATAATTGTTCCAATAGACCAACTTCCCCCAGGTCGATTACTTAATGTCACCCATGCCCTGCCAGTGAACCTACAGAAATTGAGTCGAAATAAATTTTAAAATATAATAGGAATAGCATAGTTTTCATTAGCATTTTTTCAATATTACTACATCTAATCATTTTGTAAGACACTAGAAATTCTAATGGTGTATATCAAATTAAAGAAAAAAACTTACTCAACCTTGAATGGACCTGTTCCTGGAGATGTATATGTAAAAGTTCTCTCCCCTTGTTCCCAGTTTCCTGACACACTAGCTCCCGTGCAGATATAGTTAACATTGTCGAGGTTTATAGCTGACCCACATCCAGATGTACATTGCCAGTACGTAGTATTCATTCCAGTTACAAGTTGTCCTATACGTGCAGCAGTGCACCCCGGCCCGCCCCATACCTCCAACCAAGACGAAAGAAAACTGGACCTGTAACCAAAAAAAAAAAAAAAAAACAACAACAACAACAACAAAAAAAAAAAAAAAAAAAAAAAAAAAAAAAAAAAAAAAAACACATGAAGAATAATTTCAGTTCCGCTACCGTTTTATTTATTGCATGTTTAGAATACGATTCATTTAGGATTATGCTATACTTTTTACCATTCAAGAATAACTTTTCAAATGTACCAAAAATAAAATACAAATGAAGAAGAAAGACTTTCTTAAAAGAACATAAAAGTGCAAGACTTGAAGGTTAATAAATACGTATAGGATAACACGCCTCGTATCCATTTCCAGTTGATTTCCAGCTTATTGTGCCTCCCCGAAAGTGGTTAGCCTTTGTTACATAAAGTAACTGCAAAATTAAGAAGGGAAGAAGTAAGACCTGAAATTGCATTTTCCTTACTGCGTAAGTTACTGAAATTGCTTGCCCTATTTATACTTAGGTGGTTTTTAAAACACTCAATCGATGTCCAGTAGACACGGAAATCTGAGAATAAGTTGTTTACCTACTCTGATCAAAATTTGCTTCAATGAGAACAAGGAACAAGGAAGCGTCAAAAAATGTCCTCTTGTAATCTGAATGCCAGGTTACCATGAACTAACTTACAAATAACCAAATATAACCATAGTGATTTAGTAGAATTCTTCAAAAAATCTATTTTATTGTTCTTTTCATCTATTTAATTGATTTTTAAAAATTAATTCCTAATCATTTAAACCAACATTTATACCTGAAATGGCAATATATATTGGATTTCTTTTTTCTTTCTCAAACGATTTTCCTTTTGTGAAAGTACATGACAGATGAGTTGTATTATTTATGTAAATTTAATTATTATGTTTAGATTCTTGAGTTTTACAGTTTTTCTTTAGAACTCAGCTTGGATCTGTACCCCCCCCTTTTTTTTTTAAATTTTCGATTTTTTCTCCCAAACCATTGGGATTATCTTAACATGATTGCATTAACGCATTCTTGTGTGAGGGGAACACAGGTTTGTTCACATACGCATACATGTCCTCTGTCATAGGGGAAAGTAAAAAAAAAAGATAGATATGTCATGGCATCTTTTAAAAATCTTTTCTAGAGCCAATGGGCCAGAAGAGATAGAACTATGTTAAATCTACTCATTTTATAGGGTAAATTCACTTTGTGGAAATCTATATTCTTGGGGTTAAGACTGAGCAACAAAAGGGTTATGCATTGGACTCTGTAATATTTTTTTTAGTATCTTCCTTTCAAGAACAACAAATTGAAACTTATTCTTAATAAAAAAGATGTACACCAGGTAGTTTTTATTTCGATAGAATAAAGAAACAATGATTTGGCAGTTTTTGTCATTTTGAGATAAAATGAGAAATGAATGATCATACAATGCCAACAAATATGAATGACTGTTCAATGGTAGAATACAATGAATATAAACAATGATCACTAACTGTTTAATAGTTCAATACTGTATAGGAACAAAATTGTCAACGTGCAAATGGAGATGCAAAGATCAATGATCAGCAGTGAGTTCACACACAGAGGTCTACAGCGACTTTATCAATAATATATGAAGTAGAAAGATCATAGACAATCGTGACAAAATGACAGAAGCACAATTATTGGACACAGCCCCTGGAATATAACAGAACCTTCAGCGGTGCTTCAAGCAAAATTCAGCAGAAAGAGTCTGCACAATGAGCAAAACCATGACTAGGAACTTCTATGTTGATTACATGGTACAAGAGATAACATCATTCCGAAAAACTTAAAAAGAAACGGCAGCAACAAACCTAAAGAACAATAGATGAAATTTATACAAAAACAGCAATTATAGTAAATAATAGATGGGAGAGAGGGATTGCTGGTTTTTCTTTTGTTCTAGAATTTTCCAAAATGAAGAGGTTTTTGAGCATGATTCGTGGAAACTGGGGTTGCGGTAACTGACGACACTTACCGAAGTCGAACTAATAGGAGATCATGCGAGTTATATTTCGTGCACTTTCTCCATTAATCTCAATAACATGACTCAACTCATATACGAGTTTAGTCGGAATATTCACTTTGTGCTAATTATGATCATGGACATTGCGCCAGACCACAAAAAAGAAAAAAGAAACGTCTTTACGTTCACGTTTAAAAAACTTCCAAACTTCCCGCTTTTATTTTTCTCTATTAGAAAGCTTCGAAAAAGATTTACCGACCTCTTTATAGTTTGTGTGATACTCAAAGAGTCCGTTATCATCTAAAGTTTCGTTATTTCTGCACTTGCAAGCATGTTTCGTCTGTCGTTTGTTGTTTTCAAGTAAGATACATCGGATGAAAGCTTTTATTAACGTCAAGTTTATTAGGCTTCTTTCAAACGCACAACAGACGTTTTAAGAATTCTTCGGTGAACCGTACGCGCATGATTTGCACACATGAAACATTTTTTGTTGTGTTAACCGTTGTCAAGTGAGTTGCTAATGCTAAGGGTAACATTACTGATTGTTAACTGCGTCTAAACCAATCAGATTTTAGTATCTAACATGAAAGTACAATAAGAAAAAATGTTACTTGTTATAATATTTAAGATGAAACCTTCAATTTAAAACAAAGTTTAACCTCGCCAAGTTTTGAAGTTTATACCAAAATAATTAGGGTTTCATAAACATAAAAATTCTCAAACGTATTTTTTATGCTTTAAAAAAAAAACCTTCATAGCTGATAACCTATCTTAAAAAATATGAATTTCGTCAAAATCCCATTAGTGCATAGAAATTACAAACAAATCTTTAATCTCACAACTGTTATAGCTATTCTCTTGAATACTTTTTCGGTAAAAAATGTCTAATTTTCAAACCTTTTGAATCTTGCATAGTTAATCCTTTTAGAAACAAAATAGAGGTTTTGGAAAAAAGTTTTCATCTATTTTTTTTTTAGTGTTATTATTTAACTTTCGTTTAAAAGATTATGTTCTAGCTGTAAGAATTATTATAAATAAAAAGTATTAAGACTGACAGAACATGAAAGGGACGTGTTTTAAAAAGGTACAAACCACTTAAAGGTTGGAGCCAAGAAGTCGCTCTACTGAATTTTATCAATACACTGTTTAATTCCAAGTATATATTATGTAGACTTAAGAAGTGCCTTATTTTACATGAAAGAAAAGTTTGTATTTTGTTCTTATGTTTATAGAGTACGATTTATTCCATGCTTTAAATTAAACAGGAAGAGATATTGATTTTTTTAAAAAAATCTAAATAGCCTCTTCACTGAGATTTTGTTCATTACATGACTCTAACTTTAAAAAAAGATTTTTTTTGTACATTACATTACACATATCTTAGTAAGAAAAATGTCCCATATCTTTTTGTATAATTCTCTAAATGCCTACGGGAGTACAATCTCTTTTTGGGGCTAAAAAATAATTTTGTCCTTCTTTTATCCCCTATTTACTCAATTGTATTGCTAGATCATATTTCTCGAGAAATTAATTTTTTTTTCAAATATAATATTTATTAATTAACAAATCAACTTCTAAAACAAACATTTATTTTACATTAGAAATATGCCATAGTATCTAATGCTCAACCCTACAAAAGAGATAAAGTTACTCCTGTAACAAGAAAAACTTGAGTTTAAAAAACGATTTAAAAATTAATAATAATAACGGCAGGCGTTGGCACGATAAAGATCCCTCACTGCTCAATGACCCTTGGTGCCGAGTAAAGGTCTAAATTTGAAGCCCTTCATCGGTATATGGTGACGTCTCTAAATGAGTGATAAATTCTCTAGTGGGACGTAAAACAACATACAGTCAATCGATAAATCAAATAAATAGTTCAATTAACAAAATATTAAGAAATCAATTGAATTATACTATATCACATACAGTTTTAACGCTCGCTCTGTGAGTGGAAGGTTCGAACCCCGAAACGACGCATCTAAGTCGATAAAAAGGGGCTCATTCGTTAAGCGCTTGGCACCGGGAAGTGAATGCTGTGGGTCCTTAAAAAAAGGTCCCATGTCACGATAGGCTTTGGCACCATAAGGAACCCTTACTGTTCAATGACCATGAATGTCGGGTAAAGGTCTATATTCGAAGCACTTCACCGGGTCATGGTGACGTCTCTGTATTAGTGAAAAATTCTCCAATGGAATGTCAAACAACAATCAATCAACATATAGCTAAGGTTACATTTAGTATTTCGGACCGGATATATTTGTATTGCCAGTTCAACATATCTGGATGCGTTTTTAACATTTCAGTATCTCCATCACAAAAGGCGGCATTAGTTGTTCGACCAATTTTATGAGTTTTATTATGAGAGTGATTTGACCTTAGCAAGTAACTGGTTTTCTTTTAAATTTTTTAACAAGGTATAATTAGCAAATATTTGCTGTTGTTTTATGTAACTTTCAAAGCAAATCGATGCTTTGAACTCCCGTTACTCATTTCATTTACATTTTTTGTAGCTACCAAACCTCTTCATTTCAAAATGATTGAATTTCCTGCAAAATTTTACACTACATACAATTAAATCAAATGCATATTATTTGTATTATTTAAAATGTATCAAAAGAAAATTCCATATTTATTGACCAACCCCCTCTCAAGTACAACTTTTAAATTATAGAGGAGGAGTTCAAACATATCTACACATACTTTATTTGCATGTTCATTTTAATAACAGTCTCTTTTTGTCCAATCTGTTTTAAAAACTGATCCCACGATATTTTGCTTATTTGAATGCTGACTGACACTTACTAGTTATGTCAAGAGGCATGCATGTCAAAGCCATAAAGAAATGCACGCACCGTAGAGATCAACAAATAAATAATATTAAGGAAGTACAGAATGAAATATATCTTCATTCCAATCAGATCAAAGTTACTTTTCTTAACCACATGTACGTGTAATAATGACTAAGAAGAGGTTTGTAAACACATTTATCAGTAAAGTGACAGGTGCCCTAAATGAGTACACG